GAAAAATGAGGAGCTTATATAAGGGGCTCAAGTAAAAAGCAAATGTTTTGAGAATGATAGTGACAACAAATATACAAATGTGCTTGACACAATGAATTTATGTATGGATTGTGATGGGGGTTGTACAAGCCCCCATAAAATGATTAAGAAAAAAAGATTAAGTACAGTTTAGATTTTTTTCTCTTTTTTTGTTATCAATCCCCTTTACCTCTCAATTATAACCCTCAACATTGGAGTGAAAATTGTATTCATAGAGTTTTTAGAGATCTTAGACATTCTTAGGCACTAGTTTGTTTCTGAGAAAAAAATTGGCAATCTGCTTGGGGACATGGAGTTCTCCCACTAGCTTTTGCCATTCATGCATTCAATAAATAAATACAATTATCACATTAATCATAAAGGCATAATTTTGAAGATGATAGAAATATCTCTGTACTCAAGGAATATACATTCTATTAGAGAGATATCAAATCAAGAAATAAGTGATCATAGAATTTATTGTAGTACTCATAATAAAGAACTAAATAAGGACATTTTTTAGGAAAATGAGGCCTTTTAACTTTTTTAAAGTGATAAATCCCCTCTTATTTAAGTTTCCTATGTGTATAATATACATTATAGGAGCACACATACTATTTTTGTGGGTTGAGCAAGAATCATGGTGGTGGTGTGGTTATACGTTGGGCTGCGATCCACATGGTTGGCAGTTTGAAACCACCAGCAGCCTCTCCGGAGAAAGACTGCGCTTTCTACTTCTGTTAGCAATTACCATGTTGGAAACCCAATGGCAGTGAGTAATACTTTTGAGGGAGAGAAAAAAATAGGATACTTTGGAATGGCAGGAGTTGCCTCAGTATAATGATCCAGGAAGGCCACTCAGAGACTATGAATAAGTTCAATCCATGAGAAAAAGCCAACTGAGTGTGAAGACAGAGAAGATGCGCTTAGTTAGAGGGAACGGCATATGCAAAGACATGGGGGCGAGGTTGTAGTGGGAGAGAAACAGAAGTAAATCCAGTACCTGAGATAAATGAGAATAGGCAGGTGTTTTGCAGGTCCTTCCTCAGCCAGAGGTGTGTTCTTCACTTTTCTCTTTGTTCCGATTAAACATCTTAGCGTCAACTTCAGCATCCCTGCAATGAATGGAAAAAGACTGCTAGATTTTCTTTTAAGATAGGTCTAGATTCACCACTTTCTACTGTCTTCAGCTTCCTTGATTATCACGGTTAGTCTCTTTTTCCCCAAGTATGTATAATTTTTATGTTAGCTATATTTGAATTAAATTTCAACATATAAAGATAACATAATAAACTATACAAAGTTATCAAGTTATATGCAGTGTGGCTTAATAATTAGAAAGCTATACCTGTTACTGGCCAAATGATAACATGGCGTTTCTTCCCAAAAGGCTTTCTCTGCTGGTATCCTTGCAGGTACTATTCTCACAAAAATATTTATAACCAGTGATTATTGAAATGCATAATTGTGGTGAATGAGTCAGTTAACAAAATTACCTGAGCAAATGGTTTCATTCTTCTCGGTAGTCTGATTTTGTTGTTTCTAGAAACTGGTGAAATCTGATCTTTCTTTTCGTTTTTTTAGTCTCTTAAGTGAGATCTTCATTCTTACTGTTGCAACAACTGTCTGTACTCACAGAACAGCCAGAGGAACATTCCTAACATCAATGTCAATAATGCCACAACCCTGCTCAAAATCCTGTGTGACCCCTTGAGATCGTTTATTGTACCAGCCTGGCTGATAAACACAAGTGGGATTAACTGAAGGGCAGAGAGATAAATGGCTTGGTGAGCCTTGCCTTCCTGGTCTCTCGCTCTGTGATCATCGGACCAGTGTGCGGCTGCCTTGCTTGTTCTATGCCTCAATTTAAAGGCTACACTACCTGTGGGATGCCTAGCCTGTGGACTGTGTCGCTGTAAGTTGAGGTCCCTTTAAGACATCTCTGGAGCTGGGGACTGGCGGTTGGTGACCTGCCTCGTGATTGGCTGCTGTGCTGACATAGCCTAGCTCTCTCTACAAATAGAGGAAGATCTGGCAGCAGAGTAGACTTGAAGGACTGCTAGTCTCTCACAGCTCTCTGTCTCATGGATGTGAGTTGCACTGAGCTATTTGTAGTGCTTTCTAATTTAACTGTTTATTTCTTGTATTATATATTTATCTGTATATGAGTTAACAGTTCATTTCTTGTTATATATCTAATTATCTTTATAAATAAATATATTGAATTATCAGCAATTTGCTTTTATCTCTCTAGAGAACCCTGTCTAACACACCCCTTTAGAGAGTCCTTCAGCTAAAAAATGAAAACTCTTACAAAGACCTTCCGGTTCATATGATTTTGCCTTTCATTAAATGCCCAATATCCTCTCTTACACTGCTATATCTCATTTGTTGTGCTACTACTATATTGGCCTCCCTGCTATTTCTCAAACATGTCAGGTGTATTTCTCCAATTCTTTGTTACCCTTCCTGAAACGATCCTCCCAGGAGAGCCTCACACCTTTTTTTACCTTCATGTCTTCAAGTCTATGCACAAAATAGCACTTTATAAACAGGACCTCTTCTAGCTCTTGCTTTAAAAAAACAACCAAACACCCCTTATTTTTTCCCTTTATTCTGTATTCAATAGCACATTCAATTATATAGCACTCACTCAAATGTATTGCCATCTACTCAATTCTGATTCATGACGATGCTATAGAACTGCCACTGTGGGTTTCTGAAACTTTGATTCTGGAAGGCAGTAGAAAGTCGTCTCTTTCTCCCACGGAGTGTCTGGTAGTCTCCAACAGCTGAGCCTGTGGTTTGCAGGGCAATGTAGAAACCACAACGCCACCAGAGCCCCTAATAGCGCTGTCACCTGTAGATGCTACAACTGAATGTTCCAGTGCTGCTGTAAGACAAATAACACAAACCCGTGGGTTTAAAGAACAGAGATTTATTTTCTCACAGTTCTGGAACCTAAATATCAGAGTCTTGGTCATGTCAATGCTTCCTTTGTAAGGTAATCTTGGGCATTTCTAGGCTTGTAAACAATCTCATGTGGCATCCACCTCCCCCATTGGATGGGTATTTCTGTGTCTAACCTAATTTTTTTTTAAACTCAGGAGAAGTGTATAGACATAGAACCTACCCTATTCATGTATGATCAAATAAAATAATAAAGAAATCCCTATGTCTACACAGGATTATGTCTACAAGTAGAGAGGTTAGTTCAGGTTTTAATACTTATTTTCAGAGAAAAGTGCCCTTGCCCTCTCTCCTGACCATGCTGTTCTAGGGTGTTGGGTGTTGTTTTATTGTTAGGTACCATGCAATCAGTCTCCACTGAGAGCAACCCCATGGACAATAAAACAAAACACTGCCCTGTCCTTTCCCATCCTCGCAATTTTAATGATTGAGCCCATTGTTGCAGTCCCCATGCCAGGGTATAAGAGAGTACCTTACCATAATTTAACACTAACACAGAGAATCTGTAAACAAACAAACAAACAAACAAATAAATAAGAGGTTTAGACAGCATGGTTGAATCTTTAATTGATGGAAATTTTTGTTCTATGGTAATTAATTTTACTGGAATATCATGATGTGCCTTCCTTTTGGTTAGCTATCTATTAGCCAATTGATGTTATGTTGTGTGAATATCTGAATGTTCTCCTAGTTTGTCTTTGCTATCAGTGCGATGTAAAATCCATTTGCCAGAAATAGGTTGAATTTCATTAATCTTTTAAACATGAAACTTTAATGATTCATGGTTAATGAGATTTAAGAATATGTGTTACTCAGATTGTGACTAATTTATATCATAAACATTACAGAAAATAACAATTATGCCTGATTCTGTAAATGTATGAAAAATGTTAATAAATCTTGATAAAGTTGGATGAACTTTGGTTAGATGCACTCAACACAATAATTGCTGAGTACTTTTAGAAATAGAGCGTTCAGAGAATTACAGCTACGAATCAGTAACTTACAGACTTGTTTATTCTAGTTTAGGGGCATAAGGTATCTACGAGAAAGGCAGATCATTACAAAGTACTAAGGAAGGGGAGTTCCGCAAAGGGAAAGATTATTTCTGTGTACAGTACTATTCTACTCTCTTGGTCAGCTTTCCTACCTCGCTGAACTGTATCTAGATCATCTTATTCATTAATTATTCACATCTTTTCAAACCCTTGCATTGAAAGCCTATGACTTCCCAGTCATTATGCTGGATGCCAAGAATGCTAAGAAAATGTAGCAAGATATCTCCTTTCAATGTATTTATTATGATGGGTGAGATCATCTAGCATACAGATAATTATGACACAATATTTAAATGCTAAAAGTGTGTACAAAGTATAGAGGGAGACAGAAGAAAGAGGACGTGGCTCCAGCTTATGCCAGGGCTCATGAACAGATAGTGTTATGGGCATCTTTAGGAAGAAACTGGCATTTGCACTGAACACTTATGACTTGGACGTCAGAGACCAGGTGGTCAGATGGACAAGAAGGACAAAGGAACTCTGTCAAAGAGAATTACAAGGGCAAGGCCATTGTAACATACCATGAATTTGCATCTCAAAAGCAAGTTATGTTGTCTTCAAATGTACTCTAAAAATAATTTAAATCTCTCTTGCTCTCTTTTGAAACAGAGCCATTGAATTAAGACTAGACTCAAAAACCAATTTACCCAGCCACAGACATTAATAAAACTGTCAAATTGTTAAAATAAAGAGTTTGAGCAACACTTATCTACCAGGAAGCTTCATGGAAAAATGGAATGAAAACATAATGAATTGTTTCCATGGACATTTTGAAGTCCCTTTAACTGTAGTTGGGACCATAACATATTTCAGGAATAAAACAGCCAAATATATTGCCATTAATTTACTTGTATTTATGTTTTTTCCTTAGCAGTGCCAAGAAATAAGAAATATAGAAAATATAGATTACAAAATATGAAGGTAAATAACTTTCGGTTTCTCCCCACCACACAGGTTTGGCAGTGTTTACACCTTACCAGTTTGTGCTGCGTGCATGCACCCATGTGGGCTGTGCAAACAGTTCCAGGGTCGCTCTGTACACGGCGCAGCTGCCACCCGAACGTGTGGAATCACCGATTTTGACTATCTTGGATGCTAGAACCATATACATACAGTAAGTAGAAATGTTCTATTTCACACACTGGTTCATGCAAGAATCCAAGTGAGTTCAATCAGGAGAAGGGCTTGTGACATAAAATTAATTTTATTGTGATTAAATGCATAGAAATGATTAATTCAGTGGTTCTGGGAACCTTTGATTATCACTTGACAACTTAATTTCCATTTTGTCTTTATGTAATCAGACCAAACTACATATGTGCACAGACTCTGTGCAAACTTCAATAAAGGAAAAAGTGACCATTACATGACTGATTTGAGATTCTAATATGTTGTTCATTGTGTGTAATGATTTGGAATTAGAAAATATCTACATATATATGTGTGTAAATGCCTTCTTGCAGCTGAACGCAAAGAAGTACTTTCAAACACAGATGTCTTCACATTATTTCTGAAATGACTGACCCTTGCCTAGTTCCTAATACATGAAAGAAGTGTATTGTAACACTCAACTATATTTTGCAAGGCTTCTTTTCAGCTTTAGCCTTATCAGCAATAATTTTAATTCAGCCTAATTAATAGTTGCACATTCACTTCTGTCAGTCTCAGCTTTCTCATCTGTAAAAGAATTTTTCACTAGCGAATTTTGTCATTATTTAAAAATTAAAAGCACCGTGCTTTATGATATCATTCTCCCAGCTATAAACTCTCCCATTGGTTTTTAGTGTGCTATGAACCCATTATTTAACCAGGAAGATGCTCAACCATGTGTATTGTGTAATATGTATAATACACCCATCCCTGTTCTGCTCCATGCCTGTCCTTATTTTCACCTGAACATTTGAGTACATTCCCCATAGATGAAAACTCTCGATTTTGTCTTAATCCAAACCAATCGATATTAAATATAACATCTATTTATCTAGTTTAGGCGTCACTTCATTCAAGATGTCTTATCCGACTACTTCAGATCCTCCAATACTCTATGATAGTCTGTAATTTTTTGTAACTCACATACAAATATCAATGCTGTGTTCAATTGCAAGACAATTGCATTTCACATAAGTTTTTAGTAATTATAGTTTTCCCAAATTTTACTCCACACCTGAACTTAAAAACCAAGTACTCATTTATGTATGCCTTTGTATTATTGTCGCTATTGTCCTTGAGTTCTCCTAAGTCTTTTCTAATTCATCACCACCTCAGTGACAGAGTAGAACTGCCTCATAGAGTTTTCATTGCTGTCAGTCTTGCAAAAGCACATCACCAGATTATCCACATACAGAAGGTTGCCGATTAATGTTTATAATTGTGCCATAGTAATGTTTTGTAATATTGTTGTTATTGGGTGATGCCTGCTCTGACTCAACATGATGTGATGTACAGTGCAACTAAACACGACCCCGTCCAGTGCGTCCTCATATTGGTGCTGTTCCTAAGCCAGCTGTCAATCAATGTCTTTGAGACCCCTCTTCCTCTTTCGTTGACCTTCTGCTTCAACAAGCATGATGTCCTTTCCCAGGAACTGGTCCTTCTTTATAATCTGCACAGAATAGGTGAGATGCAGTCTCAGCAGCCTGCATCCTAAGGGACATCCTGCCTGGACATCCAAAGAAAATGTGTTCCTCTTTCTGGTCATCCAGAGTGCATTCAGTATTCTTCCCTAACTTCCTAATTCAAATGCATCGACTCTTTTTCTATCTTATTCACTCTCCATATTGTGCATGCATGAGACAACTGAACTGTCATGGCATGGGTCAGGTTCACCTTAGTCCTCAAGGAGATGTATTTGTTCTTTAACACTTTCAAGTAGATTTTGGCAGCAGATTTACCCAACACCTGTCCTTTGATTTCTGGGCGGTTGCTTACATGGGCATTGATTGTGTGTTCAAGTAAAAATAAACTTTTTTATAAAAAAGTTATAAAATATTTTATAACTTCAATCCAATTTCTATTTTTTCCATTAGTACAGATATTAGGATTTTAATTTTATCTCTATAATTATTGATTTTCTTCCATGAGTGCTTCAAGTTTTCACTCTCTTTCAAATATTTTCAAATAGTCAGTAAAATACAGGTAAATGTCTTTCTGATATTCTCTGTTTTCAGGCAAGATCCATCTGACATCAGCCATGATATCCCCCTTTCACATCCTCTTCTGTATCCAGCTAAAGTGTCTGGAAGTCATGATGTACCTGTCTTTGAATTATCTTCAGCAGTGTTTTAATTTGTCTTTTGGAGCTTCTCTTTGATGTCTGGTCAGCTCACTTCATCATATGTTTTATACTTATGTACTCCATATTCAAAATCAAGTTTTACAATCCCTTCTGACATCCATTTTGGTCTTCTCTCTCTCCCGCTCTCTTTTTTGGTCTTTTAAAATACCTTTTCCTTCATGTATGATATTTTTTATGCTGTTCTATAACTTGTTTGGTCTTTAGTCACTAGTGCTAATCCTTGAAATGATATCTCAGTTCAAGTCAGTTCAACTCAAGATTATATCTTGGCTGTCACGAACTGGTTCTAATTTTCTTTGGTTCATCTTTAGCTTGGCTGTGAGCAATTGGATGGTCTGTTCTGAAGTCTGTCCCTGGCCTTGTTTGCACTGATGATAATGAGCTTCTCCATGTCTTTTCCCACCGATGTAGTTGATATGGAATCCTGCTGGGGTATTCCATCCACTGAGGTTCAAGTGTACAGTTTAGGTTGTTGAAAAGATAGTTACAACAAATTAGTTGTTGGTCTTGCAAAACTATCATGTGAGCTCCAGTATTGTTTATATCACGAAGAGTATTTCATGACTACATATTCTTCTTCATTTCAACTTTTGAATTCCAATCACCAGAAAGTATTAATGCATTTGGATTGCATATTTGATTGATTTCACATTTAAAAGTTGGTAAAAAATAATCTTTGATATCTTCATCTTTGGGATTAGTAGTTTCTGTGCAAATGTGAGTAGTATTAACTGGTCTTCCTTGTTGGCCTGTGGTCATTGGCTTATCACTGATATATAGGGTTGTACTTCAGGATAGATCTTGAAATGTTCTCTTTGACGATGAATGTGATGCATTTATCTTTGTCATCCCTGAGCAATAGACCACATGATTGTCCATTTCACAATGGATAATACCAATCCATTCTAGTTCACTGATGCCAATTGGTATGCATTTTCATGACATGATTTTCTTCCATTCATACTTTGCACATTCCATATTCTGAGCATTAATGTATGTTTGTAACTCTTATCATTTTGAGATGTGCCACAGCCACAATCAAAGGTCCTAAAAGCTTTACTCCATCTGTATCCTTAAGGTCGACTCAGCTTTGAGGACCCAGTTCTTTCCCAGTCCTATTTTGAATTTCTTCCAAATGGAGGGGCTCATCTTCTGGCACCATATCAAAAAAGTTCTGTGGCAGATATAAACTTTTTCCTGGCCAATATTTTCAGAAATTGGCCGCCATGACCTCCGTCCTCCTCTTGAAGCATATGGCTGGAAGCAAGATGGGTAGCACTAGCGGTATATGAAATACCAGTGCCAAAGCTTCTAGCATAACAGCCACTAACATGACAACACTGTATGACAAAAAGATACACAAACATTATTTGTATGAGTGTAACTGGAATTATAGGTAAATAGAGGCAGGGATTATGTTCTATTTTTAAAATATTGTTCAGAATAGTCATTTAAAAACATTTATTTCTTTATTGATTTCTTAGGGTGTTTCTACAATGGCAGAAATTCAAGTTGCTATGTGTCCATAAAAAATTCTGCACAATTCAGTTTTGATTGAATGAATGATAATAATGATACTATATTTCTCCATTCCCAGGTGGCAGCAACCAAGGAAAATAAATGGAATTCTGGAACGCTATGTATTATATATTTCAAATCACACGCATGATTTTACAATTTGGGATGTCATCTATAACAGTACAGAACTTTTTCAGGATCATGTACTACAATATCTTTTCCCTGGTAGTAAATATCTCATCAAGCTGGAAGTAAGTTCACTTTAATTCTCTGTCATGTTCTTCAGCCCATGCTTCCTTCCCTGCTCCACTTTCCTTTATTCCATCTTCTCTCCTTCGCTCACTTAAAATTAATTTTAAAAGCTCAAATGATGTTTGCACAAAAAACCTGACTTTATAGTCTAAATATGAATTATAGTGTTATATTACCTATATATTGCATCTAGATTATGTATAATGACAGAATGACAATACGAGTCATAAGATTTTCCCAAATATAATTTGGGATTATAAAGAATTTTTTTTCTTATATGTGAATGTCATGATTGCTGATGGCCATTTCTAAAATGCTTGTAATAAGGCTACTTCCCTGGGGACCTTGTATTTATTTGAAAAAGAATGCAGTATATGACCATTTTAATCTTATACTTTTAAATGAAGGTTTCAATGACCCCAAAATATTTTGTATTATTATTATATTCTGGCTTACATTACACATCTATCTCAAAAGAACAGGCACTTAATGAAACCCAGAATCAACATAGTTTAGGAGCTTCTGTAGACAGACAATAGCATTTTCAATGCAAAATAGCACTTTTACACAAAGGTCTTTTAAAGACCTTGATATTACTGAGGAATTTATACTCAGTAGTCCCCTTTGTTTTTTGATGAAATATAATGCTTTTTTAAGTTTAATAGCACATCTGAAAATAACTGAATATAAACATGAGATTGTCCCTATTTGTTTTAAACACGCTCTTCATTTTATAGCAATACCTATATAAGGATATTTGCCTTGATAAATGCCATAGAAAATATTCTGCTCTTGATTATGAATAAATTTACATTTATGTAGACACTGTGTATGCATTCATTTTACTTAACATGCTCTTGAATGCTCTAAATATTATACCATGAGAAAATACACTATTTCACCCACTGCTAACTGGCTGACTTGGAACTGCAAGACAAGGGCAATCGAAGCAGGTTCAAGTTCCTACTCAAAGCGGACTCCAAGCGCCTTGGTGTCCAGCACAGCAGCTTGGATTAGTTACAGTTTTAATCCCCAAGAATTCAAAAATGTATTCACTCGGCACTGATTCCAAGTTAGTAATAATAGCAAAAATGAAGAAAAGGCTCAATCACTGGGGGCGGGGGGGTCCCAAATTAGGCAGAAAATGTTCTTTTGGTGTTCAGCAGAAGGAAGCAAATGATACAAAACAAATTCTACTCCCAAGGCCATTCTTCGGATATGCCAGGCAGTCAATCAACATTTCACTCAACCTCCTATATTTTATAAATCTGTTGTACTTTGAAAAATAAATATATCTAGACCAGGAGTCTGCTCCCCTGGGCTTTATTTCAGATTTTGCCACTCACAGTGTGGCCTGAGGCAAATTCACTTAACGACACTGAGTTTTATTTTCTTCAAGCCTAAAATTAGCACATTGAACTGATTTTTTAATGTCTCTTTGAGCCTTAAAAGTCAAGTCTATGAAGCTGAAAAGGTACCCCAACAACCCCCCTCCCGCTGGACTCTGCTCTATGGCGTTAAACAGGCTGTCAGCCACTGAGGCTGTAAAAGAGATAGGAAAGCACTTCCTTAACTCTTACTGGAGAAATAAACTTGCACACAATGATTTTCCATCCCACTTTTTATGAGGGCCAAAAATATGCTCATCGGTCTTCAGGAAGTATTTAAGTACAAGGTTTTAGTGTTTGGTTATTTTTTAATTTTTCACTTACCTCTGTTAACTTGAAAATTAAATGAACCAGATGTGTTCGGTTCATTCTGATTAGTTGAGTAAGTATCATATATTTCACAGTTTCAATATAATAAATAACTTTCAAGGTCATTAGATGCGAAGAGGGACATCTGGTTCCCAAACAAGCCAGGCTACTATTATTGATCCTCCGAGCATGTTGAGTAAGCACTAGAAAACAACAGGTTCGCCTAACCAAACCTTGAAGCAACACTTGGGATAGTGGAAGAATTTTAATCCATGCTCTGTTTACAAAAATATGTAATTACCTATGTCTTTGGGGGAGACAGCAAGGGAAATTACTTGGGACATGAATGAGGGAAAACACATCAACAAATAGGCTCTCAGAATGAAATCCCAGGGTGTTATGAGTTTAATGTTCTCTGGTGGGGGCGGGGAATAAAACAAAATCTAGAAAGTTTAATTCTTCCTGATGACTGGAAAGAATAAGGTTTTAGTGTTTGGTTTTTTTTACCATTTTCCCTTTAATAATTTAATGGTCCCATAAGACTTCCTTTGTTTCCAGATTTTTTGTGGAACTTTTAGTTTTTGAATTTAAATGTTTTTCAATTTCAAATATCAAGTAACTACTCTTCCGCTACCAGAAAGCATGTCCTACAGCTTTGAATTGGAGCCCCACACGCACGTGTGTGTGTGTGTGTGTGTGTGTGTGTCCAGAGAGTCCACTCTCAGAAGGAGTACGGTTTATTTCTGACATATGTATGCACATGCCACAGCCAAGAAGTAGAGGGAACCCACAGAGGTGAATTAGGGCCCCCATCTCAAGGCACGTTAATGCGTAGGCCACATTTAGCCCAGCTGAAACTCGCTGAAGCTGATCTGACCCTGAAGACAAAGCTACGGGCTCCGCTTGTTCTGAAAGTAGAAAGTGAGGTTGAGCTCCACAGTGACTGACCATATTATTTTAAATTATATTTACAGTGAGCCCCTTGCAATGATTTGCAACAACCCTGAAAAAATAATGTAGTACTTCGTTATCTTAACCATCTTTTTAAAAAATCAGTCTTGTATCTTTGGGAAAAAAGATAATCTACCGCTTTAAAAATAAAGGGTGATTTTCAGAATGAACCCTGAGGAATGCAAGAGGAACTCTAAAAGTTGAGGCAAAAGTGGAATCAAAGGTAATGGGTTTTCCCATGAACATTTGATGCCTCCTTGTACTTTCTTATTATTTGAAATTTTTATATTAGTAATTATCTTCCATGAAAATGGACTGTGTGTGTCTGCTTTTTACATTGGTGTGTGGGTTTTTTTAATTTTTGATAAAATTAAGTCTCTGACAGAGTTTTAAATTTCATTGTATAAACTAACGCTTCAATCTAAGGATATTGAACAAAGCTTTCACATGTTTTCAGATATAGTTCTTGTTTAGGGGCCAAATTTCCAATGTTTGTCAGTATACCTGGGTTGGAAAACCCTTGTGTGTGTATCTCAGTTTCCTGGCGAAATGCTTATCCACTTTGTTCTATGGGAGTGTATTTCCTACACACTTAGCTATTTCTTTTGGAGTATGTTGGGTATATGATGAAAGTACACTTACATACATTTCAAAATATCATTAACATTCAAGTTGCCATAACTGATATTAATGATACCTAATTGGAAAACAGAGTTTCTGTAATCATCTTATGTTTTGCAGTCCTGTAGTGAAGCCCACATTTTAGGACCACTACATAAATAATTTAGCTTCTTTAACCATTAAGCAGTCACTGAATAATTGCTTTGTGTTGATTGGCATGTGAGAAATATTGTTTTATTCTATTTTACCTTGTGCTATAACACATTGATCATGTTATTATAAAAAGGCATGTCTTTTGTACCCCTAGAGATCAATTGTTTTTTCCTGAAGTAGTTTTCAGTACTAATCCCAGAGAGTCACTGTGTGTGTGCAAATATATGCGTGAGTCTGTGTATCGGTGTGTGTGAGTCAGCATGTGTGTGTGTGTGTGTGTGTGTGTGTGTATGCATGTGTGCTGTGAAGGAAAGCATGTGTGCGAGTGTGTGTGTGTGTGTCTAATTGACTATGGGAACCTCTGGACAAGAATCAGTTCAGCAGAGGGATTCATTTAGTCAATGCATATCTTGCATTTTTAGGCTCCAAATCAGGGCATATTTATAATTCATAAATTCATACATTCTGGATTATTTTCTAATTATGGGAGTTGGCTGTCTTGTGTCTAAAAAGGCAAGTGAATTAGATGTCAAACCTCAGCATTGAAATACAATTTACTTGGGTGGGTAGGGTTAAGAGGAGCACTATTGAAATTCTCCCTATGCATTCGTCCCTTGTCTTCAGCACTTCCCTAAACGTTTGGGGCCCAGAGTGAATTGTGATGGTTTTGTTCTACTTTGTTTTGTTTTGTTTGTGCCTGTCTGTCTAGGCTTGCACTGGCGGGGGGTGCACTGTAAGTGAAGCCAGCGAGGTCCTCACAGAGGAGAGCATTCCCCAAGGAGTCCCGCCCCCCAGGGTGCACTCACATTCACCTGATTCCTTTAACATCTCCTGGACAGAGCCTGAGTATCCGAATGGTAAGTGAACTCTTTTAGCCCGAAGTTAAAAAGATGATTAGTAAAGGTAAATTAATATTCTAAATGGCAGCTTATATGTGGTGCTTAATTTTTAATGATCATTTTAGCACATAAAATATCTGAGATGGTATCATTGTCTGTAGTTGGAGTTTGTGGTTTTGAGGCTAACATGCTCTTTTGGTAGCTCAAAAGTGCTCCCTTTTGATAGATCTTGTGTACTGCATCTTACTGTTTTACTGGCTTCCCACAGAGGCAGGGAGAACAAGGGAGGATTCCCAAACAGTGCTGCCTGGCAGTCATGTTGTCTTTCGATGATTCCTGGTTTGGGTTTGAGTTTGGTTTGGCTTTGAACAGCCATTAGTTGTCTCGTGAGTAGAGAAGTGGAAAGTTCGTGTACATACTGTATTTCACAATGCTTTTGATTTGAGTTAATAGATTGATCTGATGAGCAGTCCCTGGAACTCTGGGATTTAAATGTTATTTACGAATATGGCGGCATGTTGGCTTCAGAGAATATTTCCTTTAAGTGGGTTCGCTATATTTGTATGTAAAATACACGTCTTTACACAGCTTAAGGAATCAAGCTCACCCGTTAAAACTTTTCATATAATAATGATCTTTTTTATAAAAGATATGGTTTTGGAGAGGCATAGGCTTATTCATTCACTGGAACTACCTTTAAGATTTATACAGCATGGCCCCGTTGTTGCAAGTTGACAGAGGACTATAGATGTCAGATTCGGTTCCTCTATGAGGCAAATATTAAGACATTTACTATCACAGGAAGTGTTTTAAGTAACTCACTACTGAGGATTGAAATAGCCTCTTTGAGCATAACAACAAGAATGAAAATGTTTTGCAGTTTTATTAGTTTGTCTTATGTTTACTGTGATAATAACTATTCCAGTCATCTCATTTCAATTAAATTTTTTTGCAAGTATATTAGATATGGTTGAAATAAAGGAGAGGGCTCTTCTCATTGGATTGAGTGATTATCTCTGCTACTGATATTGTTCTTGTACTTTTTCAAATTTCCTAATATAATGTAAATGGTTATCTTTTAATACTTATAATAAGCAGTCATAAATCTTGACACTATTTTTTTCACTCCATAGAGACACTTAGTACATAGGTGACAATGCAAATGCAAATGATTTATTCCAGTTAGATTGTTTTTAAATGCCATTATATTATTTGTACATTTATAAAGTTCCCCTCCTCTTACTTGGTAGTTGTAACTGAGAGTCGAACTAATTTAGAATCTTAGATTGACTAGATTTGAAATCTCTGCTCCTGGTGATTTTTTTCCATGTAAAAGCAGTCACTTTCTAGGTGTGCAGCTTAAAATTGATTTTTGAGATTTAATCATCGAACAAAAGGAATCTGAGAAATGTCAAACATTTGTGGAAAGTTTCCTTTACGTTCCAACATTGTGTTTGATCGAGGCAGAATTTTGAGAATGTGTGTCTTTGCAGGGGATGGTGAGACAAAGGTGGAGTATTTAAGAAGCACTAGCTCTCTTCATAGGGGCCCTGGTGGTACAGTGGGGCAGCTCCACAGAAAGTCAGCCATTTGACATAAGATGTGCCTCTGTGTCAAGGTGGACAGCCTCTGAAAGCCACAGGGGGATTTCAGCTAATCCTATAGCTGAAGAAGAGAAGTTCACCTGTATCCTGTAGGGTCTCAGTGAGTTGAAATAGACTTGATAGTGACCAGTTTGGTGGGGGTCATGAGCTTTGAAAGAAAGAATCAATACAATTGGCAGATTTTTAGCCAGACTCAGGATCCCTGGGGGTACACGGACTGCCTCTTTAGTGGCTGTTCTCTCCTGATGGTGTTTCCAAAGTATGTAAGATGTAGTCTTGCCATTTTTGCCACTAAGAACTCTGACTGTAATTCTTCCAATGCAGATATGTTTGTTCTGATAGCAGTCCATGGTACTCTAAATATTCTTCTTAGAGCTTCCTTATCAAATATCCCACTTCCATATGCATATGAGGCAATTAAAATACCATGGTTTGGATAAAGCACACCTTCATCCTCAAAGTAACATTTTTGGTTTTCAGTCCTCTAAAGCAGTCTTGTGCGACAGATTTATGTCACACAATGTGTCGTTTGATCTCTTGCCTGCTGCTTCCAAGAGTGCTGATTGTGGATCCAAGCAAGACAGAATCCCTGAGAACTTCATATTTTTCTCCATTGATCATGATGTTATCTATGGGTCCAGTTGTGAAGATTTTGGTCTTCTTAAACATGAGCTGTCAGCCATTTTTCATCAGCAAATGCTGCAGGTCCTCTTCACTTTCAGCAAGCAGCATGGTGTCATCTGCACATCAGAGGTGGTTAGTAAGCCTTCTTCCAATCCTGAAGCCACAGGATTCTGCACATAAGCCACCTTCTCAGATGATTTGCTCGGCGTACAGTTTGAATAAGTATAGTGAATACGTATATATTGTACACCTTCCCTGACTTTAAACCACACAGTATCCCCTTGTTCTGTGTGCGCAACTGCCTCTTGATCCATAGGAAAATTCCATATGATCATAATTGTGTTAGTCTGGGTACATTAGAGAAACAAATCCACAGAAACGCATATGCATAAGAGAGAGTTTTATATAAAGGCAAGTGCACATGAAGAAAACATCCCCACCCAGTGCTGCCCAAGTCCATAAGTCCAACAACCCATATGTCTGACACCAATCCACAAAGTCCTCCTCCATCTCACAAAACACACACAATGAGGCCAACTGCAGGAGGAAAGCCGAATCAGTGAATGTGTAAGCATCTCAGTGCTGGCAGGGGTCTCCACACGGCTGCTCCAGCACCTAGGGCTACATCGGGGTAGGTCCATGCGGCTTCTCCTTGGGAATGTCTTGCAGGAAGTGAGTCTTGCCAGCTGAAGCAGGGAACTGACTAAGGCAGCTGCACCCTGGTCTAATCATCACAAAGCAAAAGACCCGAGAACTAGAAAGGTGAGGCTCACTGAGCCATTTATCTTTCCACTCTTCAATTAACCCCACATGTGTTTATCGGCCAAGTTGGCATAATAAACTTTAACTAACTCAATAATGTTCTGGAATTTCCATTTTTCTCAAGGTTACCCATAGTTTGTTATTGCGTTAGTCTGGGTAGCCTAGAGAAACAAGTCCAGGGATACTCTCATATGTGTGTAACAGAGAGTTTTAGATCAAAGAGCAATTGCACATTAAGAAAACATCCCAGCCCAGTTCATAGCAATACCATAAATCTGATATCAGCCCACATGTCCAGTACCAGTCTGTAAATTCCTCTTCAGAATCACGCACCACATGCAATGACGCTGAATGCAATGACGCTGAAGGTCAGTGGGTGGAAAGTCTTGTGGATCCAGTAGTGGTGGAAGCATCTTAGCACTGGCATGGGTCTCCATGTGGCTCCTCCAGCTCCAAGGCTCTGGCTCCATGTGACTTGTCAACAGTAATGTCTCCCAGGGAGTGAGTGAGTGCCCCACCTACAATGAGCTATTTATGTCCTTAGCAGCTCCAAATGAGGTCATCAAGCTGAGACCTGATTGAAAGGCTAAACTCCACCCCTTCATTCTTATGTATGAAGTTGAAAACATTATTTAACTACCAGTTATGATCCACATAGTTGAAGGCCTTGACATAGTCAATGAAACACTAGTAAGCCTCTTTCTGGTATTCTTTGCCTTTAGCCAAGACTCATCTGACATTAGCAATGATATCCCTTGTTCCATATACTTTTATGTGTCTTGCCTAAAGCTCTAGCAACTCCCTGTCAATGTACTACTGTAATCATTATTGGATGATCTTCAGCAACATTTTACTAGTATGGAACTATGGGTTGTAATAATATCTGTAAGAGCTCCTAGTAAAATGTCTTTAAAATTTTCCTTTCGTGAGATATTGTTCTATAGTTGGAGCTTTCTGCTGGGTGTCCTTCCTTTGAAATGGTACAAAGCTGAATGGCTTCCAGTCAGTTGGCCAAATAGTCATAGAGGAGTGGGTGCTTCCGGCGCTTCATCAGCTCGTTGAAACATTTCAGTTTGTATTACAGTAAGTCCTAGAGCCCTGTTGTTGGCTAGTGTTTTCAGTGCAGCTTGAACTTCCTTCTTCAGCACCATTGGTTCTTGCTCATATATAACCTCCTGAAATGCCATGACAGTCCTCTTGATTGGGTTATTCCTGGCGTAGTAAATTTTATGATTTCTTAATTCAAAATGGCCAGTTCAATCCATTTAAACTTACTAATTCCTCGAGTATCAATCTTTATGCATTCCGTTTCATTTTTGAGGACTTCTAATTTTCCTAGATTCGTGCTTCAAGCATTCCAGTGTCTGGTCAGTAGCAGAGGTTTGCAGCTCCTGTGGCCTTGACCTGACTCATGTCTCCGTGAGCAACTCCACTCTGAAAAATCATTCCTCTCTGTCACAATCCACGTGTCCTCTCACCCAAGGGGCCACCTCCAGCATGGTCTCTGACAATGGTCTGCTTCCATTCATTAGGCCTGCGGTATCTGACCGTTTTTTGGAAGCTATGCATAAGGTGTGCGGTGGCGCTTTCTGTTGAAGTGGGCAGCTGAGCCCTTCTTCCTTGTCTACTCTTAGTCTGGAAGCTCCAGGGAAACCTGTTCCCTTTAGGTAACGCCGTTGGCATTTGAAATACCAGAGATATAGCTTCCAGCATTATGGCATCACACAAGCCACCACAGTCTGATACAATGACAAAGAGGACTCTTTATGGGAGTAGAAAGCCCAGTCTTTCTCTCGAGTCATGCCTAGTGGTTTTGAACTGCTGACCTTGCAGTTACAGTCCTAGGTGTGTAACTACGATGCCAAAAGTAGTCCATGTGAGTTGTCATTGTCCTGAAGAATGTCTCTCAAAATAAGAATTTTTCTGTCTTGCCAACATTTGATAGTGAAATGGAATTTTCCCCTGTATTAAAAAAAGCTCACTGCCATTGAGTTGATTCTGACTCATAGCAACCCTTACACGAGGGCA